TGCGACGAGGGCATCCGGAGGTGCGCGGAATGCATCCTTTCGCCGCATCCAAAACGAGAGACGTAAATGCCTCCGTAGTCGGAGTTGCAGAGTCGAAATCGTTAGAAAAGGTTTCGTCCAGGCGGGTCTCAAATCCACTCCAGTCCGCTTTCTTGAAGTTCCAATGTTGAGGTCGCGTACCAAGAACAGTACCATCGCGGTGCCGAACCCAGACCGGGAAATGGTCACTTCCGAGGGGTCCGCTGAAGCATCCCAGTTGAAGTGTGGCACCAACTGCGGACTACAAATGCTCAGGTCTAGCACTGACGATCGTCCTGATGGCAATGTAAAATGTGTTTTCGCTCCTGTATTTAAAACACACAAACATTCGTCACGCACGAAAGCCTCACATAGCCTCCCGCGAGTGTTCGTGGAAGCACACGCCCACACAGTGTGATTGCCCACACAGTGTGCATTAAAATCGCCTAAAACGAGTGGAGGGGGAGGAAGTTGAGAGGTTAACTCTCGTAGTCCTCCAGATGAAAATGAAACCCCAGGTGGCAAGTACAGAGAGCAGACAGTTATAGCGCGGCGGTTGAAATTCACCGTTGCTGCGACAGCTTGCAAGTCTGTTCTTAACACCAGACGCCATGTAGGTACGCTTTGGTGTATAGCCAACAGAACGCCACCGTAAGCAACGGTATCTGTTGGCATGTCAGTGCGGAGGGTAGTGTACCCTTTCAGGCTGAAGGCCGCATCAGGCGCTAACTTGGCCTCCTGGAGACACACGGCTACCGGGCAGTGCGCGCTTAAAACTGTCTGCAAGTCCTGGGTGCTTGACCTTACACCTCTACAGTTCCACTGTAAAAATGACTGAATGGAGAGACTTTAAAAACACTGTAAGGCCTTAAAAAACTCAGCAGCGCTAGAGCCTGGCCCATGGTTGTTGGTTCTGTCTTCAGAACCCAAAGAGATCGCGCGCATCCTGGGTTGGATCCGGGGACTACCGCCATCTGTTGGCGAAATCGGCCCCTGCGGTCCACGCTTTTCCGGGCGCCCCGTCCTAAACTGGGCCGGCGCCGGCGACGTCGTGGTCCTAGGCGGCGGTGGTGGTGGAAGACCCATAGACGGGTCTCTCCGCGAGTCGGAAGGGCCTGGGGGAGCTTCCACACGCTTTCGGGGAGGTGGGACTACCTCCCCCGTGGGAGCAGGCCCGGGGCACGCACCCGACAGCCGACTGGCTGCCTTCGCCCTCTTCTGCTCTGAAGGCGTGCACGCTTTGCCCTCGCGCGCCCCGTCTCTCCGCCTCATGGCGCTCAAGGTTGTCCAGTTTTCGTCCCATCGTCTCACTCATGTTGTAGGACGTGATACTCCTGGGGAGGACCGCTGTGAAGCCGGTGATCGCGTGCTTACTGGCGAAGACCGGGAGGTTCGGCCCCGGCGGACCACGGTCCATTCACTGCTTTCGGCTGGTGTGGGATGAGACGGCGAGGTAACAACTGGCGCGCTGGCCTGTGCCTCAGAGGGGGTACAGGGTGCCGACGAGACGGGGGACGACAGTGTTGCTGATGCTGTGGCGTACACCTGAGACGCCGGTACAACCGACAGCCCGAAAGATGTAAGCAGTTTAATGAACTGCGTTTCAGTCATCTGGTCTAAGGAAGCCTCAGGTGGGGACAGGGGCCTTGGCCGCTGTGGCATATGATGTCTTTGGGTGGCTCAGTTCATATAAGTCCCTTGCTTCCCGAAATGAGATGTTCTTCGTGGTTTTCAGTGCGATGATCTCCTTCTCTCTGGCGTACGCCGGGCATGCACGATCGAAAGTGGAGTGAGGTTTCTGGTTTTTCCCACAGTTCACACACCAGAGGTTCGCTGCAGTGCACTGATCACTCGGGTGCTCTGGTGAAGCACACTTACCACATGCTGGCTGGTTGCGGCAGAAATCCTTTGTATGTCCAAACATTTGGCACTTAAAACATCTCATGGGGTTCGGAATAAAAAGGCGCACCTTCACCTTCACATAGCCTACCCTTACTTCAGATGGTATGTCAGGACAATTAAAAGTCAGCACAATGTTGTTCGTGGGGACCAGCTCCGCACCTCTGCGCACCTTCATGCGGCGAGCATCCGCTACCCCGAACTCAGCGAGACCGTCGACTATCTCCTCGTCACTGACATCTCTCAGGTCAAAACAGTTCATGATACCCTTTGACGGGTTCTTTGTCCTATGGACGCCCACAGCCATCGCCACTGACACGTCCTTTTTCCCCTCCGGCATCTCGCACACAGTACACAAACCTATCCGAGGTCCTGGCCCGTTTGGCCTCCTCTCCGTTCTGGAACTCAACCTCGATCCCGCCGTCCTTAAGCTTATCGCATCGGAGCACCTTTCCAAAACGAGCACACCCATTTCGCCCTTGAAAGGGCAAAAGGGACGACAGCGGCTTCTCGGCGCTTCGGAAAATCAAGATCCGAGGGGTAGGCGCTGACGCACTAGCACCTGTAGCCTCAGTCCCCCCCCTTTCGGGGTGCGGGTGTTTTTTGAGTTTATAGTTGCCATGCGTGTAAGGTTTTAACATTCAGCACCGAGGCTCCCCACCCACCTCGGAGCCCAACTGGGGAACGGCCCACTCACCCAAGTGGCGGTCGTGCCGCCAGGGCTACCTCGGTGATATGCGGGGCGAACGACGCCTCCCACACGGCCAGGTGTAACCGGGGAGACCCCCATCCCGTCCTGACCGTGGTTCAGCGCCGCCGCCCCTTGACCCCTTAAGCCTCTGCGCGCGGCCAGGCGCCCCAAGCGGAAACCCGCAAGGAGCACACAACCGCAACGCGAGCGACATGCCGCTAGACCAGTGTGGGGCCCCACGGGCCCCCATGCCCCCGGATATTCTGGCCAAAGTGGAGTGCTGGGATGCGCCGTGACCGACCCGCGTAACGCGCCCCTCAGCCACCAGGATCCGATCAACCCTGGGATGTGGGCGAGGGGGCACGGCGACCCCGATAAAACGAGGATGAGGAGTGGTGATAGGGCCGGATGACGGAAAACGGGTAATGGGAAGAGGAGCGGGCGGGACAAGGAGCAGGAGCTCACGTACCGGCAGGGTCGCTACGCCCTGAGAGGAACAGCTTGCGCTGTCCACCCGTTACCGGAGCTGGGACCCGAGAGGGCGCTAGTCCCCTACACCGGCCGAAGCCGGTGCCCCTGCGGGGACCCTGGGCGCCCATTTCCCAAGCAGGAGCGAGGCTGGGAGCCACGACTTGCATCGGTCCTTGGCACAATGGTTAGGACCCCTGCGTCGGTGAAGTGCCTACAATGTCTTACAAGGGCCATGTGTCGGCTAATGGCCCCGAGTCGGTCACAGGCTTTGTTTGAGGAGGCCCAAGGCTGGACAAAGGGCCCCTAGAGACCAAAGATCGGGGGCCCGATTGGAAGGCTGAAGGGCACCAAGGGCTGGCTGTAGGTCACATTTAGTACCCCGCCTTTAAGGCCGTGATCTCCAATGCCAGTAAGTGGGTCTTTTGTACCGATTGGGGACCCATGAGACAGAGTGTTTTCTATCTCGGCCAGAAATCACGAACACCGAGCAGTCGGTTTCGTGTCGGTCTGATCTCTTAGGGCCCATTTCCTCAAGCAGGGCCGGGCCCGCGATTTGCATTGGTTGGTGTCCCTACAACAACGTGGGGTCCTGTATCAATCAGGGGCACGCAGTGCCCAACAGAGTGTTGCGTGTCAACAAGGAGCCTCGAGTCGGTCGGGAGAATACTTGCTCAGCTGGAATGAAAAAGGATCGCGAATAACGGGACTCGCGATTGGTTGGGCCCTCTGACAATGAAAACAAACATTGTGATTTATGATGAGTGTACATTGAAAAAATGAAAAGGGCCCTGTGCCAATCAGGACCCCCAGTATCAAATCACGGCCCGTTAAACCGACCTGGAGTCTATGGGTCAATTATTGGACCACCCGCGCCGATCATGAATGTTATTGCGTCATTGAGGGTTCCCGCGTCGATCTGGTGCCAACTGCGCAGGTCAGAAGGCCCTCTGCGCCAGGAAGGGATCAATGTGATGTGATGTACCCCTCTAAGCACCTCCGGATCGGCCAGGGGATCCCGACCCGTGTCACCAGAATGGTGGCCGGTAGACCCTTTGCGGTGGAACGGAATTGCCATTCAGCTCTCGACTGGGTACAGAAATGTGCCTCCTAGTGTTCTACTCAAGAGGCCACCTTCCCGGAAAGAAACAAGCTAAACAAGAAAGTCATTAATGTCGAAAAGTGTGGATCAAAATGAATTAAAAATGAACAAGACTCTCCAATGATTGCCTGAAAAACCTTCATCCTTTAGCAGAATCGGTTAGTGACATATATTACATCAAAAGGTATGAGCATACACGCCCGAAATCTGGGGAGCAAAGACAACGATAGCCTGGGTTGCAGTTTCCAGACAACCGAATGGCGTTGGCTACTGCAAATAACACCACGTGCCTCTTACGGCAACGACCGTCGTTAAAATGGTTCCGACCGTCGAAAAATGGTTCCGAGTGACTCAAAAGCAACTGGCACCTTTCAAAGAGAGGACTGGCCGTGTCGTTTTTGCAACTTTGAGGTTATGCTCTGGGCAGGTGAACAGCTACAGCAGCATGACAACCAGATATTCCACTTCGCGGTATGTAAATGCCAATCCGTTCTTAACATCGATCTAAATATCGATAGATAACTTAGGGTGCGCAGACCGCACAGCTCACGCGGATTACAGCGGTGCCGTGTGGCGCGCTCACCTGGCTCTTTGGATTGCAGGTAACTCAGGGCGCGCAGACCGCACAGCTCACGCGGATTACAGCGGTGCCGTGTGGCGCTTTGGATTGCAGGTAACTTAGGGCGCGCAGATCGCAGAGCTCGCGCGGATTACAGCGGCGCCGTGTGGTGCGCTCACCTGGCTCTTTGGATTGCAGGTAACTTAGGGCGCGCAGACCGCACAGCTCACGCGGATTACAGCGGCGCCGTGTGGTGCGCTCACCTGGCTGATGGTCTCCTGCATCTCGTACTGGTACTGCAGCACGCTGATCATGTTGACGGCGTTCTGGATAATGAGCGCCATGATGGGGATGAAGGGCAGGCAGAGCATCTGCGCCAGGTGGATCTGCTTGCCCCGGCCGGTGGTGGGGTCGAGGCCGCAGCATCCCTTCAC